CTGCTTGGGTCCTGCCCCTGGTGGTGGGTGCAGGGCGGATGGAGTGGTATCCCCAGGCAGTGGGGCCAGGTCTGGCAGCATTCAGGAGGAGCTGGGGCTGCCAGGAACCTAGTCCAGCCACTGCCTCAGCCCTGCTGTGCACCTGGGAGCTGTGGGACCAGCCACATGTGCCATGGCCTGGGTTGCCCCCCACAGTTGGTCCAGGCGGGGCTGAGGAACTTGCTGTGGGCCGGACCAAATCCCTCCATAGACTAGATCCAGATTTCAGGCCATATTTTCTGTTTTCAGGGTAGCATAGGAAAGTAGGTCTGGAAGAGACCTCCAAAGGTCATCTAGTCCAGCCCCTGTGCAAGGCAGGATCATCCCTGACCAATCTTTTTGGTCTAATTTGCTCTTGAAAACTTCCAAGGGTGGAGATTCCACAATTTCTCTAGGCAGACTATTCAAATGCTTGACCATCTTCACATTCAGAAAAATTCCTCCTACCCTCCAACCTAAATTTCCTCTGTGGAAGCTTGAGTCTGTTGCTCCTAGTCCTGTCTCCTACAAGTCGTGGAGAAAAGCCTGTCTCCAGTCTCTGTAATTGCCCTTTAGGTATATGAAGACTTACCAAATCCCCCCTCAGGCTTTTCTTCTCCAGACTAAATAACACTAGTCATTTAGCCTGTTCTCATAAGTCATGCTTCCAAGGCCCCTAATAATTTTTGTTGCTTTGCACTGGACTCTTTCCAAGCTGTTCACATTCTTCTTGAAGTGTGGGGCTCAAAGCTGGACACCCAAGGCCTCACTAGTGCTGAATAAAGCAAACGAATCACTTCCCTTGATTTGCAAGTGCCACTCCTGTTAATACAACCCAGTATTCTTGTTGCTCGTTTCTGCAGCAGGAGCACACTGGCTTGTAGTCCGCTTATGATGTACTGCAGGGGTTGTCAACCATGTCTGATGGCAAGCAGGATGTTGAATTATGTTTCATTTTTGTTGCAATGTTTCATATTTCACAGGAGAATTGGTGATGGAAAGGTTCTCCTGGGCAAGGAATTCATTGCGTTGAGGTTGTTTTGCAAGTATGCAAATTTAGCTCGACACAAAAGGCTGGAGCAGGAGTGCTAGCTTCCCTCCAGTTCTCTTGTACAATATGAGTTTTCATTTCTACCTAGGAGAAATTTAACAATCTTTGCGTTCTCCTATGCCTGAGGAAGGGTGCATGTGCCCAAAAGCTTGCAGATAAAGAAACATTTGTTTTTCCAACTGTCTAGTTGGTCTAATAAAATATATCACCTGTAGGACACGAGCTGCTTGCACACAGGTTGTGTGCGTTAAAAGATAAAAAGTACTAATGATAAACTGCACATTCTAAACAAAAACAAGAAAATAGTGTCTATGCATTGCATGGGCCAACTTAATGTTGCTGTGCATTGATAAAGCTACAGCTATTGCAAAATGCATTTAATTTTTTATGCTTTATAAGGTTTTATATAAAAAGAAAATGAGCTATTTGGCTAATGGATTCTGTCATTTGCTTAACCCAACAGATGCACTCCATAAGCATGTGTGCACAGTGAATCTATATTTAAATGACAGCTGGTGAGAGAAGTGTGTTCTGGTAGAGAACAAGCCTGGTAGTCCCACCCTGAGTCTCTTGGCAGCTCTGCTGCTGACCTGTCGTGTGACTTTTTTATTAGTATCTGGTTCTTAATTTTTGTTTACAAAAATCTTCATTCTAGGAAAAATCCTTATGTCACTAGAGTAGTACAAAATCTTTCTTGTTGATGATAATTTTTGTGCTACTCACATCTTAGTTAATTTTCAGAAGCACTTGTTAGGTCAAATCACGTTTTTTCCTTAAGTAAAATGGACATGCTTTGTCTTCCTCTCACCCAAAGAAGGATTACAGTCATATCAGACTTCAGTTTTTTTCTTCATATAGAGCTGTATAGAAAGCTGTTTTCTGTATAGCACATATACATTGTTTTGTTGAATTTGCATGCGTGTTCAGTGGCATTCCAACATTTGATTTTTATTGTTGCTAAATGAATCCTCTAAATGTGTAACCCCTTCAGTTAGGAGAGGAAGTTATTTAATTGTGTGATGGGATATATGTTCTTGCCCCATAGGGCATGTTTAGAGTATATGTAGCTGTCTGCTTAGATGTCGTGTCAGCAACTGTTACCAAGCAAACTATGACTAACAGTTGGCATGTGCTAAGCCAGCAAAATTTAAAAATTAACTCATGGAAGTCAGAGGAAAAAAAAAGGAGCGCTTGCAAGAGTGACATCATTTTGGTATTGCCAGCAGGTTACCTTTCTGTTTGTAAAACAGTGAATAAAGACTCCTGCTGCTTCTAAACTTTAAAAAAACTTCAAGTTAAAAACATTCAGGCCAAATCTAGAGCCTTTCTTCCTGATGATGGTGTCAGTATCAATGTGGATAGTGTTAGTATTTCACTGGTATCAATGTGCCCTCATCAGAGATGGTCACAGTAAGTGTGTTACCTTTATAGTCATCATATAAAATTATTGGCAATACATTTATAAGGCTAGTATAAATGCAGAAATCTTTGTTACTGCCATGGGTTGAAGTTCTTAAAGAAAAAGCAGCATGCCTCCGGAGAAGTTTATTTAAAGGAAGCATCTTGCTATGCTTTAAAAATGTTGATATCTAGCTTCAAACAAATAAGATATTTCTAAAATGGCAAAGTAACAGAACTATGGATAACAACTGTTTTTGCAATTTGGGTGATGCCACGGCGGGGTCCTCGCGGAGGGCCGTGTGCTCCTTAAGGTCCCTCGCTCCGTGTCAGGCCGGCCCAAGGCACCCTCTAATTCTCGCCCGCCACGTCTTGATGGAATATATATATATATTAGTTGGGAGG